TCTTGATGCTATCTATATGTATCAAACTCTACCTTCTGATGATTGAATATCTATCAGTATGAAGCTAATAAGGTATTATAATGTTTAGCAAAACTTAAGCCAGATGTCCGGGAGAAGTGCATGATAAAATTTTATTAAAAAATTTATATGCTTTTCTTTCTGTTTTCCAAACTCCTTTGTTCATGTATGTGATATAATTGAAAACAAAAGCTATGAATATTAAACTCCTTTGTTATCATATTTTGGCTGTTCTTTTTTTCCCCCCTGAGATTTTGGACATAGTTGTAGAAAGTAGAATACATACATATATGTGTACGTGGTGTGGTAATTTTGATGCCAATACTTGGTAGTAATGATATTTTGCATATATTGCTTTTACTCACTCATGCACTTACTACTGGAAATAGGAGGAAAGAGCTTCTGCCATTTCAATGGTGACCAAGATGGTTGAGTCGATGAAGTTTTTGCCTGCACAAGTAGGTTTTCTTGGGCATGGAATTCTCTTATTACAAGATGAAAGAATATATTTTGACTTTGTATTTACCGTTTCAATTTTTTTTACTAGGCTCGCATCTATGAAGGAAAGGAGCCCATTCAGTTCTTTTCAATCTTGCAGAGCTTCATTGTTTTTAAGGTTTGTAGGGTTCTTATCAAGAATCTCAATTTTCTACACTTCACCCTTTCCATTTTCATTTTAACATAGCTACCAAACCAACTTGTGTGAAATTTGTCAGGGTGGTCTTAGTGAGGGGTACAAGAAATACATCGCAGAGAATGAAATCCCTGATGAGACATACAGAGAGGATGGTGTTGCATTGTTCCGAGTTCAAGGTTCAGGACCTGAGAATATGCAAGCAATACAAGTTGATGCAGTATGTTATGATTTCTTTTATCACAGTTATGGCTATAGAAATCATTATATTATTGTCCTTTTTTCATCTAGTAGAAAAAATAAATATTATAGAGAAAAGGCATCAAGGTGGTCCTACCCACGTACACAAGCAAGAAAATTACAGGGAAGGATCAACCTAAATATTAAAAAGGTCCCAAGACCTCCTTCATTGTAAAGAAGGTGACCGTTGAACAAAAGATGCAAGGTTTGGAACCAACTATATTGACTTCTAAAAAAATTGATGAAACAACTTTCAAAAATTTTCTGTATATTTTCCCCCGAAATAGAAAGTGGGGTATGATGGCAATCATCTTTTTTCTTCCTGTCAGCTCGGGTACCATTCCGAGCTAGTAATTCAAGAGAATAGAGCCACTCACCACCCATTTAATGCTCGTCAAACTAGTTGAACACTATAAGAGAATAAGGTTAGGGGGTTCATTGTTGCAGAGTCAAAGAAACCACCATTGATTTGATAATATACATGCCTCTCTTTCCTAAGTTATACATAGTGAGGATGTGAACCCAAGCAGCTTCGCAAACAAAATGGGCTACCCAGGTAGAGGCTTTGCATTTCCCCACGGTTTTCCATGGAAACCTGTCTCCGAATAGAAGGAATCAACTGAGAACTTTCCACGCTTGGAAAGCATCCAAACTGGCTCATCTTCACATTTTGATGCATTAGGCAATTATCCAAACAAGAAAGGACTAAACTCCTCCACCTTCCAATCAAGTTATTGCTCTTTGTCTTGCTTTGGGAGTAGTTGAGAAATGTGACCATGTTATGCAACTTTGTATTGGGAATCTTGATTGATGGATTTCATTATAAAGTCGTGATGTTAAGGAAGACCAGACTTTCTAATCTTTAACACAACTCAAAATGATCCTCTTAGGTTAAAGCATCTTCCATTATTATTACTAAAACTTAGTTTCTTTCTCATTAGTTTTTGCAATTTAACTTTAAGCTAGTTGTTTACTGAAAATGAACATATATATATATTTTTTGAAATAAAAGTATGGTATGTATTATTTACAAGCACCAAGAGAGTGCCAAGCCATGTACAAAATTATTTACACCTCAATCAGGATATCAATAAGATTTCCAAAAGCTTCTGTGGTATGCATAGAATGACTCGTAATTGATAAGCTCACGATTTGGAACCATCTATCCTTAATCCTATCAAAGTTAGCTTCTACCATCTCAAAAACTCCTATTTCTTTCTTCTCACACAATGCAGAAAATAGCAAGGAGAATGAGACCCACATGCTTTTTCCCACCGCAAATATCCTTCCATGACCAGACTCATCCTTTACATTGCCCACCATGATCCAACTGATTCCTAGTAACTTGTACGCCCATGGATATGACAGCAATATATGATCGAAAGATTCTTCCACACTCATGCATAGGAAGCATCCATTTACCAAAATTTTTTTCCTTCTCCTTAGCTTGTCAATAGTAAGTATACACCTCCTCCCTGCCTCCCAAGCGAAAAAACCATTCTGGGTGGAGCATTCCTCTTCCAAATTTGCTTGTACGGAAGGCTGATATCAGAGGAGTTATTTTAAACCAAGTAATTGTAGAAAGATTTTACCGTGTAAATAGCCTCAGCCCTTACGCTCCAGACAGGTTGATCATTACTTTCATTCAGATAGATTATGGATATAGCACTGAAAAGAACTATATTAAATTGTTAAATTTTTGGATGCAACAAACAGTAGCCAATGCTCTATTATCTTGTCATTCAATGATTGTAGTCTGCAACTGTATCTGGTTGGTCCAATATACTGCTGATTTGATGTTATTTGCAATTTAGGTAAAATTTTTTGTTTTCCTTTTATATGCCTGAAATATCTGGGTTTCTAGAGCATAAAGGTTCAAACTTCAGAGTGAAATATATTTTCAAGTTTCTGGTTCTCTAAGCAGAAGTATTTGTTCATTACTTGTATTATTTTGGGTGTATGCACAAGCTCTTTCTCCAAACATCATGTACTTGTTCTTCCTTCTAAGGTTTAATTAGCATTTTTGGGGTTCAAGTTTAAATAAACAGATCCTAAAGTAATTTTGTTTGTGACTTTTTTTACATGGTGCTGCAAAGAGGAGAAATAACACTTATTCATACTTATTTATTTCCAAATGAGAGTTGGTAGAACACATCTCATGGACAGGATAGATAGAATTGGATTTTCAAAACACCTCCTTGGAGAAGGATATTTCATCTACATTACGGGTTTCTTTATGATTGTTCATCAATGATTTATCTGTGCTATTGCTATAAAATGAAAATAAAAGACATCAATTTCGTATCTTAGGCCTGTGGTTTTATTTTTATCTTTAGTTATTCTTAGTCACATAATTGTTCAACTTGTCGCTTAAACCATCATTAGTACCTGGAGTGGAACCACATATTTTCTAGTTCTTAAAGAAAATGGCAAGATACCTGCTCTTTCTTTGCCTTCTGGTTTTATGTAACTAGCCTATCTAATTTTTTTGGTGATGATCTAATTCAGGTTGCATCCTCGTTAAATTCCTCCTATTGTTATATACTACATAGTGGTTCTACTGTCTTTACATGGTCTGGAAACCTTACAAACTCAGAGAACCAGGAACTTGTTGAGAGACAGCTTGATCTGATTAAGGTGGGATTGTCTAAGTGATTTTTTCTTTTCTTTTTTGTCTTCTTATACAGGTCTAATCATGTACTTAAATTTTTTTTATAATGGACTGAGTTGTAAGAATAACTAATATCATCATGGGTAGGATATATTGTCGTTTTAATTGCTACTTAAATTAGAGAACTTCTTGGGGGTCTGAATTTCTTTTGCACAATCTCTGCTTGCTGCATTAGGAGGCTTTTACTGAATTCACTCTTGGCTCCTGAAGGCTTTTTAATGATTCATTCTGGTACCTTGTTTGTTCACTGCAGCCAAATCTTCAGTCCAAGTCACAAAAGGAGGGTTCTGAATCTGAAGCTTTTTGGGCGTTGCTGGGGGGAAAATCCGAATATTCCAGCCAAAAGATTGTATGGGAGGCTGAAAGTGACCCTCACCTATTCTCTTGTACGTTTTCCAAAGGTATGGTAAACCATTTGCATTGATGATAATCCATCCTTTTTCTTTCTATTCTCTCTACTTAACACTTACTTAAATCTTCTTTTCTCCCTTTCTTGCACGGCCATCATTCCTGCCAATGGTTGCCAATCCAGGGAATCTGAAGGTGTGTATCCTAAATTTATGCTATTCCATCTGTTGTGGCATAATTTTTAAATTATACTTGGTTGTACTTGTTCTGATAGACAATGTGTGAAATTACCTTATAATGTAGGACAAATAGAGTTGATTTGTCCATATATGGAATTGAGGATAAAAACCTAGATATCACGTCTAGATTTGTTAGAAATCACATCTAGGAAATCTTAAGCATCATGCGTAAGAGTGGTTGTATAACACAACCAGAAAATTGAAGAACTCTTTATATATATTATTGAATACTTGAATGCTCCCCTCAAAGAGGTTAGGACCATATTTATCGAGTGCTAAGTAAGTCTTTCCCAATTAGATTAAGAATATCCAACTAATTTAGGAATACTATTTCTAGTAAAAAAATATTAATATTAAAAATATTAGGAATATTAATCCCAATGCAAATAAGAAATATTAAAACAAATAAGAAAAATACGTATTAAAAGAATAAAATCCTGAAGTTATCGAACTATAATAATAGACCTCTAAATGGTATAATAATTTTATATTTAAAAGAATTATAATTTCTAATCTATTTATATTAACTCACTCAACATCACCTTAACAAGAAGATGCAATCAAGTATGGCAAAATGTACACTCAAAGATACTGTATGAGAGCATATGTACATGAAAAATGTCTTATGCTGGTAGAACTCTTAGTTTCCCATGGTTTTGAAATGAGTTTGCTTGCAGGTGACAGAAATTTATAACTTCACCCAAGATGACTTGATGACAGAAGATATATTCATCCTCGATTGTCACTCGGATATCTTCGTTTGGGTTGGGCAACAGGTTGATCCCAAGAATAAATTGCATGCTTTAACTATTGGCGAGGTAAGATGAATTTTATTTTTGTGGGAACAATTCTTCACTTGTATTCATGTCTAATGCTTTTTTAAAGTACTGCAATTCAATTTCTTTGCTGCATAATGAGCACCTTAGTGGAGATGGTGCCGGTAAACTATATTTCCTTGAACTATTTAGAGCTTAAACCTTAATCATCAAAGTGGGAAAAAGCCCTGAATCTGTTTTGGTTTATTAAGTATTTAAAGCTTAAGTCATTTGTATCTAGGCTTTGTCCCTTAGACTATTGATACTTGGATTCATATTACAACAGTGAGTTCCTCTTCAAAATGTTTTACTGTGCCCTTGAGCTATTTGTTAAGATTCTTAATATGAAGTTAGTTTCCTGCAACATTCTTAAGTTCTTGGTGTTCTTTCCAACAGAAATTTCTTGAGCATGATTTTCTCTTAGAAAAATTGTCTCATGAGGCTCCAATATTCATAGTCATGGAAGGCAGTGAGCCTACTTTCTTCACACGGTTCTTCACATGGGATTCTACAAAATCTGCAGTAAGTGACGTTTGGGTTACTTTATTTTAGCTCTGAAACTTTATCAGTGTCTGAATGTTTTAAGAGCTGGATGCAGATGCATGGAGACTCATTCCAACGGAAACTTGCAATTATTAAAAATGGTGGAACACCAGTTCTAGATGTAAGATTCCATCCTAACCTTATTATGGCTTCAAAGGATCATTGAGTTTACAATATACTGTTTTTTCTTTTGATTAACATGTAAATAAAAATCTAGCTTAGATGCTTCGTTTAACGAACTACAATAGCTATCTGAAACTTTCATGGCGCTCCCTCATTTTGAATTGTTCTGTTATGAAGTGTTATAAGCAATTGGGAACTTTTGGCCCCAATTAACATTTTCTCGTTACCTACTTTCTTCTAGCTTGTAAATTCTCTTCCTTGATGTCTCATGCATTATTAGAAACCCAAAAGAAGAACACCTGTATCATACAGTGGAAGGTCCAGTGTGCCAGACAAATCACAGCCGCGCTCTAGAAGCATGTCTTTCAGTCCTGACCGAGTTCGTGTGAGGGGCAGGTCTCCAGCTTTCAATGCATTAGCAGCTACTTTTGAGAACCCTAATGCCCGAAATCTGTCAACTCCACCCCCAATGGTTAGAAAGCTCTACCCAAAATCTGTTACTCCAGATTCAGCAAATCTTGCTTCCAAATCTGCTGCTATAGCAGCTCTCAGTGCGAGCTTTGAACAACCACCACCAGCACGGGAAGCTATTATTCCTCGATCCCTTAAAGGTATGCTTGGAATTAATTGAACGCGATAATTTGCCACTATTTTTTGGTGGCTAATATCTTCTTGAATTTACATTTTCTTTTTTATGGACTGAAGTGAGCCCAGAGATAGCCAAACCAAAACCAGAGTCAAACTCAAAGGAAAACTCAATGACCACCAGAATAGAATCCCTCACCATACAGGAAGATGTGAAGGAGGGTGAAGCTGAAGATGAGGAAGGACTTCCAATATATCCCTATGAACGCCTTAAAACAACATCTACGGAGCCAGTTACAGAAATTGATGTTACCAAACGAGAGGTGCAGGGTTACTTAGCACTAGATTATTCAAGTTAATATATAATATATTCTGGTGACGATTTACATATTTCTTAATCGAAATTCAATTCATGCAGACATACCTGTCATCAGAGGAGTTCAGGGAGAAATTTGGAGTGGCAAAGGACGCCTTCTATAAATTGCCAAAGTGGAAACAAAACAAGCTTAAAATGGCTGTGCAGCTTTTCTGAATCTTCCTCCAAACAACTTCTTCTTCCTCAGATCCCTGCAAATGGGATTGCAGGTTGAAAGAAAGCTTGCTTATATACATGCATGTGTAGAAATTCTTCCCTACAAATTTTGCATTTTTTAATTTTTGGTCCAATTCGAGTCCATAACATTCTAATATTTCGCTCTTTCTTTCAGTGTGAAAATCTAAACCGGGTTTCTCAGGAGAGAAAGGGACAGCACCAGTGCATTTTTAGCTGCTTCTGCTCCCAAGAAGCTAATTTTATCCATTGATAAAGCAAACAAGAATTCTTTTGTCCTCCCATTTTTTATCTGGTGGTTTGAAAGTCTTAGCAATTTTTTTTGGGCTTTTTCTGGTTGAGTTAGTTGCTTGATATTCTTTATGGTCACAGGTTTGATTGAGCTTGCAATTTTTTTCCTTTTGGGGTTTCATTTTTTAATTAAATTCAAGTAGAGTGAATAGTGCTTGCAATGCAGACAATGTAGGTTGTATTGAACTGAACAACTGAGGATGAAGTGTGTACAGCTGAGTGTAAAAACTAGTCCACTACCTATCTGTTTCCCTAATAAGATGAGTGTGGAATTTTGTTTTTGACTTTTTTTTTTTTTTTTTTTTTTTTTCCTCCCAAAAAAAAAATCTCATTTGAACCTTTCAGGGGTGTGAAAGTTAAGAGTTTAATTTTAAATCTTGTATTTGTTTTTGGGCAATTTATTATTTTGTTATTTTAGTATTTTGTTATTTATGTATAAGAATATGTATAATATTACTATTTTTTTTTTTAATTTTTTTTTTATCAAGTGTTATTCTTTAAAAGTTATAATATGCGTAAATTATCTTTAAAAAATTAATATTTTTATAGAAAATAATAAAAAGAGGAACAGAAAAAGGGAAAAGAGTTATAAGCTTGGGACAAACAAACCCAAAAGACAAGCAGATTGGTCGAGACTAAGAAAGAAAGGCCCAGTTGTTTTGATTGGTCTGGGCCAAACCGAATATAATTTATTTATTTATTTTTTATGGTTGTAATTAAATCTAAATTAATTTTAAAGGAACATTTTTGTTAAGTTTAGGATTAAATTTTCAAATGTTTTCATTTATATCGATTTAATATTTAATTATTTCTGAAAATGTTTTTTTTTTTTAAAAAAAAGAGTCTGCAATTGGTGAATTGAATTATTTTAAAATGTCGTGGGGTTTATCAACCTGTAAATGACTTGATTTTATTTGCAAAACTAAAGTTTCAACTTTCGAATTTAATGAAGTAAATTACTTTAAACTGTCGGGTTTAGAAAGTCATAATCATTCAATGAAAGCAATTAAATTAAATTAAATTGATTAAAAATGGTCAGATTAATTTCATTATAGGAAATATTAAACATGCATTAACTATAAACGTGCGCCTCTCTTTCTTATTGGGAAAACCAGCGAAACAGGACAAAATGACGTCAATAATCTAATTAAATAAAAAATTATTAATAAAAATCAAAAACAGAAATAATGACAAGAAAGTGTAGTGTTACTGTACAGTCAAGTTTATAATTTTTATTCTGAGGATTGCTTTGAACCGTTGATGATTGTTTTTGAAGTCACTTGCTCTCGGTACTAATATCTAACCTTTGAAAATTCAGTAATTGGATCTAATATTGTGAGCTCGATCCGAGCGTAACATTCTACGAAATGGAGTCATAAATAGAAGAGACGAGACTACGCGAGACAGAGATGGAAAAGTTGCAGAGCTTTTTGGGACTGTGGTAATGAGATTTCATCCGCCTTTTCTTTTTTCTTTCCTTTTCAGTTGTTTTTAGTTTAACACACACTAGTTAACAAACAGAAAGAAAAAGAAGAAGAAGGAAGAAGCAGCGATCAAGAGGAAGGAGGAGAAACAAGGAGAGAGAGAGAGAGTAGAGAGAGAGGAAATCGAGATTTATCATGTCTGGCGAGAGGGTTGCGGTTGAGCTCTGCAAGGGCGTCAACGGCCTCGACAAAGTTGTGCTCCGCGAAGCACGTGGCAGCTCCGCTGAGGTACTCTCTATTGCCTTCTTTTTCGTCCTCATTCTCTACATTTCCGTTCCCTTTCTCTCTCTCTGTTTGTCCTGTACTCTCTGTTACTTGGCTTAGCTGACAGTGATTTGATCAATCTCTTCTCCGATCGGTGTATCTCATTGGTTCTAATGTATGATTTTGTTATCTCTTATGAATTGTGTTACGATTTTTATCATTTATGCGTATCTTTTAGAGCACTGTTTATTATATGCTTACGCTATTTGGGATTCCGTGGGTTTAGTAACTTAGTGGCTTGATTCGATAATTCTCCTTGATGTGTGTATAATTCTCTTCTTGTGTGTGTATCTTGTGTACCTATTTGATGTCCATATTATTATAACACACGAATGGATCTGTGCATTTTTACTGTTGAGTCTGTGTGTTCTGAGTGAGATATCCTCGATCTCTCTTGTTGATTACTTGAATGTTTATGAAATGATGGATAATCTGTTTATGAATTTAGTTTACTGAAAAAAGAAATCGAAAAATGAAATCGCAGTGATAGCTTCTATCTACAATTTTCTATACATTGAGGTGCTTCATGTGAAAATGATGAAATGCATCCGCTATGGATGCCAGAATCTTATATTGAATCTAGCTTGTCTGAAATGATCTTACTCGATCCGCACTTGAACAGTGCTAGTTCTTTTTTGCTTTGGATTTATTTTAGGATTTCCAGAAAATATAACATTTGTCAAATGATTATAGTCTTAATTGCAAACTTAATTTTCTGGTGTGACACAAGGCAGGACTTATGACATGGATGGAATTTTTTCTTCTCATTTCAAGGGGACGTGGAAGTCTAATTTTGGGATCATTTTTCATTGGACATGTTGGCTCTTTTGTTGCTATGATGCAATTTCAGATAGTTGTGAATAGGAAATTAACTAACTGGTGATGCATTTTCATTCTTATACGAAAATCACATGTCTGCAAGAAGTAGGAGTTAAAGTTGAGGCTTCCCTTTCTTTATTAGAAAATATGTTGTGACTCAACCCAAAGAAAGAACATTTAAATTCAATAATTTTTAAAGATTTGGTTTAAGTTAGGTATGTCTTGAATCCCAGTCACAAGTTTGTTGAGGTAGATTTTGAGTTTGTTAACTAATTAATAATTAAGTACCATTTTCATTTTTAGTACAATTTTCAAGTGCTCTTGCCATATCTAAAACATGCTAAGTTGGTCTTTTTCCTTATGGAAAATGACATGCACTTCAATACGACTGATAATCACTTCAATCTAGTATTAGGAGAATTGATTTGGCCTGAAAAATTGTACATAGACATGAACTACATCCACTTATTTGGCTGTAAAAGAAGACACTGATAAAACTTGGTTCTTTTTGTCGTTCTATGAAACTGGTGCTATTGTCTTCATTATATACTTATGTATACGCACATAAGCTTTGAAAATAAGTGTTTTTTAAGGAAAAATGAACTATGTAAACATGAATATAGTTATCTAGTTAAACTCCTGCAAAATTGATTATGTATGATTCTCTCTTGTACATGTTCCTGCTTAGTTATCATTTGTCATTGCTGAATCTTATTCTCTAAGACTGATTATAGCTATATCTCTATTTCAGGATGTTTAAAAAATTATTACTAAACATGATGGTTTTCCCCATATTCTCACAACTTATATGCACACATCTAACACTTCTCTTCTGTCTGTATTCATTTGTTTATTTATTCATTGGTTTCCCAGGTGTATCTGTATGGGGGTCAAGTGACATCTTGGAAAAATGATCATGGGGAGGAATTACTCTTTGTCAGTAGTAAGGTGCTGTGAGATTTTCTTATGATAATTCTCTTTGAATTACTAGTGGATGCCTTGAGGAAGAATGCCTTTTCCAATAATAAGGTGCAATGCAATATTCTGTTATTTGATTTTTGGGTGGATAATAACCTATTTGTCAATAGTTAAATGCTGTTAGATATTCTAATGACAATTCTCTTTGGATTACTAGTAATAAGGTGCTAATGCTATGTTCTAAATTTTTATTTTTTTGGTAGATAAGTATATTTATTCGATTGCTGTTCTAAGATTTTGCTTGTGCATCATTATCTGTTAGTTGGAGCAAAATTGGTCTTAGATGATAGGACTTAGATTGGGTCGTAGAGCATAGATTGCATAATATTGGTGGAATATCCTTGACTGGTGTGTTGTTTCTTGTTATCATTATTGTTTGCTAGTTGTTTTTTTTATCAATTATTAAATCATCATTTTTTTTCAAAATCATATGTTTTTATTTAGAAATAGTGGGCACAGAATTACTTAGTCATTTTGAAGTGACCATGGCAGCAATTTTTTTTTTCTTCCAGAAGAAAAAGCAGTAATAACAACAAGGGGGTGTGGCCCAGCTAAAAAAAGAAAAAAATAAACTAGGCAGAATTTACCAGTTAATTAATAGGTCTATGATGTGCCCTAAATCTTTTGCTGAATTAACTGGATGTCCCTTGAGCAAAAAAGGGACTGGAATCAAATATATCAAACTCTGCCAAAAGAAAAAGAAACATCCTCAAAGGCTCTTCTATTTATTTTCTCTGAATTATCAGCAAAGTAGCTGAAGGAATAAGAAAATTAAGTTTCTTCTATCTCTAATCAAGTGACATGGCTTGCCACACCTACAACTCTTTTGCTAGAGCCTCAGCCATGACCTGGTGCTCTTTGAGAATATTCAGGATCACAGTCCATAAAAAATATGAAATAATGCATCTTAACAACTGACCGTTCCCATAGTCTTGCCTTTTTCATGTGATTATTGGTAGTCAGATTATTCCTGCTGGCCGCTTCCTTAGTGAGGAAAACACTTCTAGGAGACATGTTTTTCCTCCAAATCAGCTGCCAAGGGAAAAGGACAAGAACCTTGGTTGGATGAATGCTGAAACATAGAACCATTCGACAGCGAAGGAGTTTTTTGACAAATGTTCCATACAAGTTCTTCCTCCCTAGACTGGGAAATCTGCCTAGT